TGGGGGACACGCGCCGCCTTTGCAACCTTTCCTCCGGGAAGACCCCTCCTCCCCGCCCTCGTGCTCGGGGGATGCAGTGGGGGCGCCCCGGCCCCCGCCCCCCGCTCTCGGGAGGCGCGCCGCGTGGGGGCCCGGCCCTTTTAAGGGCCCCAGTTCCTAAGCTGGGCCCCCCTGGATGACCCAGGGGACCCTCCCTGTTTCGGGGTGGCCTGAGCGCCCCTTCCCGGCAGCGCGCAGCTTAGTGTCTGAACCACCAGGGACGAGAGTCTCGGGGCGACATCGCTAGAGCCCTGCTTGGGTTTGGGGGAGCGGGCCAGAGGGGAGGGGGCGGTTAGCGGAGGAGTTTTGTTGGTGAGAAATGAGGGGCCCTGACTTGGGGCCGGGGCGGCAGGCGCCGGGCTCGGTCCTGGGGGGCGGGCTGCGGAAAGGGACCAGCGCTGCTGCGACCGGGGAGCTGTGTCCCCCCACGTGCGTGTTGAAGCCCTGACCCCGCACCCCGGCTCCCAGCGCCTCCGAGGGGGTCGTTGGAGGCAGGGTCCTTGCAGAGGCGGTTAGAGGGGGGCCTCACCCACCCGACCCGAGGGTTTCGAGGTGAGATTAGGGTTCAGTGAGGACACAGGAGGGTCCCCCCCGCAGGGAGAGGCGCCCAGACACCAGCCCAGCCTCGCCTCCATCGCAGACGCCAGTCTCCAGCACTGCGAGGGGACACATCGCTGTTTAAAAAGGGTTTTACAATTGTGGGGGGCTGAGCACATATGAATACTTTCCCTCCCACCTTGTAAGTTCCAGCCCGGGCTCAAAAACCAGATTCACAAACAGGAGAAAATAAAAGCTTAATGTACGTTTGCATGGGGAATTCTCAGAGGCGTGATGACCCCATGACAGTTCCAAAGACGGGGAGACAGCGTTGGTTATATAAGACATTTTTGGACAAAGAAAGGGGGGGGGTGGGAACGGGGTATTAGATCTCAGAAACCAGGGTGAGCGATTTACAGGTAGTTGAAGAGCAGAACACGCCTGTGAGGAAAATCCTCGCTCGGCAACTCAAACAGTGGGAGGTGGGGTATCTGACCGGCACCTGCCTGAGCCCTCTTATTTTTAAAGTTTTTTTATTTTTTATTCTCACCGGAGGATATTTTTTCCATTGCTTTTCAGAGAGAGTGGAAGAGAGAGAGAAACATCGATGTGAGAGGAACACATGGATTGGTTGCCCCCTGCACTCGGCCCCCCGGGGCCAGGGATCGAGCCTTCAACTGAGCCTTTGGCAGAAACCGAACCCGAGATCCTTCGGTCCATGGGCCGACGCTCTAACCACCGATCTAAACCGGCCGGGGCGAGCCCTCTTATTTACCGTATTTACTTCAAATTAGGCTGAGGCAGCACCCTAACATCTCTTTCCTGAAGCAGGTTTCCCTGAACTTCTTGGACGGGAAAGTGGGGAGGGTGAAAGGCTCCCTCTGAGTCTCATTTCTTAACAAGCAGTTTAAATTAATATCCCAAAAGGCAGCTTCGGATGGTTAAATGTTGGTCCCTTCTAAAGGAAATTGCTGGGCGGGCTGGAACCCTAAGCTCTTGAGCTCACCCACTGCACCGGTCTGGGGAGGAGCCTGCCGACCCTGCCCTGCTGCCCTCTGATCCCCTCCATCCTCCCAGCCACACTGGGAACCCCGTGTTGCTGACCCCTCTGCTGCCTGAGTGGAGGTCTTACCGTCACTGCCTCTGTGTGTTTTTGGCAGGGCGGTGAGTGTAGAGCCCAGGCATGGCCTGTGCTTCTAGACTGCTCCTGAGTGGCCAAGGGGAGAGTCAGCACCTACCAGGGCAGGAAATGGCCCAGGAGGAACTGATCTGGGGGTAGTTCTGGCCTCTGTAAGAGACCCTGTTATTTTTTCACAGCCTTTCCTTCTTGTCCTGCCTGCCCTTGGGTCACCACAGACAGAGGACATGTTATGACCCATCCACTGCTTGGGACTTGGCCCTGCACCTTGCTCTGACCTGTGGAATGTGAGAGGAATAAGAGCAGGTTCCAAGTGTCTGCTCCCCTGCAGTCGGGGCCTGAATGAGAAGTGTGGGGAACCGGCCTGAGCAGCCCTGCATCCTGGGTCAGCCCCCCCCCCCC